GTCACTGTGAACACACATTGATTATTTGGAAACACCATAAATATATACTTTGTGGTTTGATTAGGTCTGTAGCTATTCCTGTTCCATGAGGAATTTTTCTTTTTGTAAATTGTACACTTCTACAGAAAAAAGACTTGGTTCATTGAATATTCATCACAGTTTATAGTCTCTTGATTAGATTATCATCCATTCAACTTGGCACTCAATTTTATTAAGCTTTGTTTGGATTTTCTGTTTATGTGGCATCTGTGTGTGTTCATTTGTCACTCAAAGTACTATAGAAATTGCTCTAGTACACTTATTTTCTGAATAATTGGGAAATCAAGTGAGACCCATCATTATAAGTTTGCATTATCGTTTTGAAAGAAAAAAGAGTGAGGACAGAGGACAGAAGCAGAAAGGAAAAGGAGGGAAAGTTGGAGGAAGGAGTGAGAGGAGGAGGAGGAAAGGGGATGGGAAAAGGAAAAGGAAGGAAGAAAACAATGTAATTGGCTTTCTTAACGTTAGAGAAATAGAATTGTAAGGATGAAGATCTCAGAAAAATGTCCAACTGATTATTTCCCTGATTCATTAAGTGTGAAGCTTTGCTCTTTAGGAGTCCACATATTAGCCATTGTTCTTTTATTTAACATTGATCAAATATGCAGAGAATAGTTTTATGAAATTATATTTAAAAATTAACTTTGCATTTTATTAGAAACAAACACTATATATGTTTAGGAAATTAGTAGAGATAAAATGTTATGCCAGGGTACTGTAATGTTTAAGATTAGAACAATTTGTAAAATACAATAGCAACATTTCTATGCTATGATACTATACAGTTGTGCAGCATAGTTCTTTTGACTCTTTCTTTCCTTTTAACCAAAAAAAAAAAAAAACAACAACAACAAAAAAACCCCAAAAACCAAACAGGTAAAGAAATTCGAATGAAGTAGTACCTGAAAATTTGGTTTTATATTTCTGCCAATAAAATAACCTTCCCTTATCACAATATCACTCTTGATGGAGTTTGTCAATTGTGTACCTAACAATTAAGACCAGACTCCTGAAGAAGGGATAAATTTAACTTATATATATTTTTGTTGGATTTTTCAATGTTTTATTGTATTTATGTATATTAAGATCCGATTTGGTAATTAAGACAGGTATAGAATAAAAATATTGACTTGGGTTGGATTGATAACAATAGCATTCAACTGCATTATGTTAAAATAATGAAGTATTAAAATATTTTAATTGATTGACATAATATTTAGCTAAAATTGACTGATTCTTCAGATCTGATGTTAGGTTTTCCAATACTAGAGGTCTCTGTATTTTTAGCTTATTACCTGAATGGTCATAGCATATAACATATTTAACACTTACTAAACTTAAAGTTATAGAAAAGCAACACATTTTTCTCTCTGTATAGATCTTCATCACATTTTTAACATCACTATGAACAGTGGGCCTCTGTTAGGTAGCTCTACAGAAACTTGAGTTTTTCATAGGATTTTAAGGATGTAATTGGATCCTGAATGAATAAAATCATACATTCAACAGCACAAACATATTTTGAGATGAACAAGCAAATCTCAGGGCTTTGGTGCTTGTCCATCCTTTCTTTCAGCCAGTTATACATCTACAAGGATTCATGGGTATGACTTCTAAAACACTGGAAGCAACTCAGGAGTCTAGAGAGATGGCTCAGCGGTTAAGAGCAATGGCTGTTCTTGCAGAGAACCTGGGTTTGGTTCCCAGCACCCACATGGCAACTAACAACCATATGTTACTTCAGTTCTAGGGAATTCAATGCCTTCTTCTGACCTCTGTGGGCATTGCACAACATGAGGGCACTTACATACACGTAGGCCATATACTCATACACATACAATAAAAATAATAAATAGTAAAAATCCTTTGTATTCCATAGTGTTTTCCTAGAAGTGGAAACAAACCATGACCCGAAAGGGAGCTGGAGATTTTCTTTCTGCTGAAGTAATTACACAGTAATTGTTTTATTTTTTTCTGTTCAAATATTTATTTTGCTATGTCCTTGGAATATTATTTCTAAGACTTCATAGACACACTGTTATTAAGTGAAGTTTGATAAAATGAATAAATGAGATAATAGATTTGATGACATCTCAAATATGTAAATATAAACTAACGATAGTTTTAGATATTGTAACATCTCTTTCAGAGATTCTATTTGTCACTTTTTGACCTGGAACACTTATGAATGAACCATGCGGTGACCGAGACTAAAGCCACCATATAGAGTGGTCTTAGGGAAGAGCCACAGACTATAAACTTATGTGTGGAATGTAGGCTATCTTAAGATGCATTAATGGTACATGAAGCAGCTCATTGTGGTTTGTTCTTTTGAAAGTGAATGGGGAATTTCAATCACATACTCTTAGCAAGTTTTTTGAATATATTTTATTGAGTTTTTGTGTATTTCATATAACAGAACTTAGTCAAATTTAGACCTCCTCTCCCTTCCATTACCCCATATCCTCCTCCCCTGAAGATTTTGCTATCACTTTCCAAAGTTTAGAATAGACTAATTCCTGAGATAACTTTGGGGGTACTTTCATTCAGATAAACTTTTATATTTTGGAGCTTCAAGATAAAGGCACATTTTTAAGTGTTGAATCAGTCTGGAATGCTTCACTCTACTCAGCTTTGAGTTATCATTTGAAACTGTATTTTTTAACATCACACAGGTAGATTAAAACAATCATTTTTGCCTATTCCCAATGAACTACTATACAATTAGAGTAGCCATTCTGAATCTTTGGTATTTTATTTAATTTTTAATTTAATATTTTTTATTTTCATACACTATAGTTTGATGGTATTTAGATCCCCTCCTCTATCTGCACCTCCCCTCACTGCTACCTGCCCAAGTTAATGTAGTCTTTTGTATGTGTAAAATGGCCTGTAGAATCTCACTTGTGTACCAAAATGTCTTTCATTGCGGGTTGGTCCACTGGGTCCAAGAGTCTCGTAACTGTATCATCCACTTCCAGCAGGCATCAACTGCCAAAGTTCCTTAGGCTGAGTTGGAATTTCTTATCCACTTTCCCATTTCTATACTGGGATTTTGTGTGGTTTGAGTTTTCATAGAACTTGTGCTTGCTGTCACCATTAGTCCGAGTTCATAGAGTAACTGACCAGCTGTCTGGAAGACTCTATTACCTTGTGGTCATCCACGCCCTCTGGTTCTTACAACTTTTCTGCTTCCTCTTCCCCAATGATCCCTGAACCTCGGGAGGCAGAGGTTTGAAACATGTCCTATTCAAGGACAAGCACTCTACAGTCCCTTGTTCTCTGCACATTGGCCAATTGCAGGTTTCTGTGTTAATCACCATCTGCTGCTTAAGGAAGCTTCTCTGGTGAGAGTTGAGCAATGCATTCATCCTGTGTGTAAAAGTTGCATTGAAGATATGTCACTTAGGGTTAAGCATCTCACAGACATAAATTCTGGGTGTGTGACAGCTCCCCTGTAACTTCAGCCATAGAAGGCAGAGACCAGGGATCCCTAGAGAAAGCTGTCTAAGGAAACTTCCCATATCACTGAGCTCTGGGTATGATTGAGAGGCCCCTGCCTCACAGAACAAGGTAGAAGAATGACAGAGGAAGATACCTGTTATCAACCTTGGGCCTTTACCTGTCTATGCACACACATGCACATGCACCCTCACCCACACAGTTGTATGCCTCCATACATGCAAACATTACATCTGCACACACTATACACTCATATGTATGAAAAAGTAAACAGAAATTGTGCCATAATAGAGAAATGCCCGATTTTGAGAACATTTTCAGGGTTGTTACCATGAATTACATATAAACATTCATGAGCTTATTTTCAATACTCCAGGAACCGTGTAAACCAGTCATTTGATTGTCAGTGTAGTTATATGTTTTAAAATGAGATTTATTTCTATTGAAAACCATAGACCACTAATGGATGATTTCAAAGAAATAATTCACCTTATCCAGGAAGTTCCTAAGAACTCAGAATATTTATTTTGCCTTTTATTTTTTTTCTGGAGTTGCAAAAACCGAGATTGAAATCAGTTGAGAGAAACCTTGCTTCCAAGATTCTTTTCAATCTGCTTCTGTGGCAATTCAGTCAACCTGCTTGGAAAAAAATTGCAGGACCTAGGAGGGAGAAAACCTGCCGCATTACATAATTCACTGAGCAAGTTTTGGCTCCCAACTCTGCCAATCAATCTTAAATAGTGGCTAGTGCCCCACATCTCGCAATACATATGATCAAGCAATTTAGGAGGCAAAAAGAGAGCCACTGCAACTTGGCATCCCTGTCGACATTTATCTCTGAGAAAACCAAATGGAGCCAACTTTTGCCAGAGTTTAATGGCAAAGCTGTCACATTTTACACAAATGAGTATCGAAGTCTGCTGGCAAATGGGAAGGGGGTGGGGAACAGGGGAGTGGAGGAGGAGGGACTGCTGACTGGACTGTTTTCAAAGTGGCTTCAGTTTTTAGGGGAGGGGCCAGATGCTCTGCTTGGCAGGAGAGATGAAGTAGTTAAAAATGATTACTAGCTAGGGGCCGGAACCCCCGGCATGTGGGTGTATATAAGATCTCGTCGCCAGGGCAGAGCCTCTGTCGCTGCTGCTGCTGCTGCTGCTGCTGCTGCTGCTGCTGCTGCAGCCAGGAGCAGGGTACCGAGGCTCAGCCGCTTAGGACCCAGAGGCCAGGGAGGGAAGCAAACCCAGTAGCTTGAGTTTGAACTGGGACTCCTGGTTCACCTTTGCAGCAGACACAGACACCACAACCCCTAACTTCTGTCCACTGCTCCCAGACTCCCCTGGTAGGTTCCTGAGCTCCAGACCAGCGCCCCAGGTGCCTGCTCAGCCTGGCAGCAGGTTCCCTCTGAAGGCGATGCCTGCAGGGGTCTCAGTTTCTGGGCTGGGGTGGCGGGCATAGCGCCCAGCGGGGAAGCAGGGAGGCTGCTTGGCTAGAGCTGTGGCTGTGCTGCCGGAAGACGCCTTTGCTACAGGGACACCTGCTGTGGACTCCTCTCCAAGATGCTCCCCATGTCCTTGCTACTGCTTGGAACCGCGCTGCTCTGTGGCCATGGAGCCTTCGCCCGCCGGGTGGTCAGTGGTGAGTCAGGGGACCCCTGCGCAGCAGACCACCCGCACCTGGGGACCATGGGACGCTGCGGGGCAGCCTGCACTAGGGTGGAGACTCTTTAGAGGGCTGGAGACCTGGACTGAGCAGGGGCTGAGGGAGACAGGGGAGAAAGGAATTTTGTTACTCTTCCCTTTCATTCCCTTCCTTCAAGACAGAGAAAAGTTTAAATTTTCTGAAGCGCCTGATTCAGCAGCAGCGGAGGCAGCTCTAGCTCCGTCCAGCGCAGTCTTCCAGAAGTGATTTCCACTTTCTTTGGAAGACAGTGCCTCACAGGCAGGCAGGGTTGGGCACCTGCAAAAGGGGTGTGGTAGGGATAGGCAGATGGAGCTCCCAGAAGGAGCTGCAGTACAAATGCCACCCCCTGTTGGCCTGGCTTGGCTTCAGTCCTGCCAAGGCCAGGGTGCTCACAAGGGTGGTTTCTGAGACTTAGCCCAGATGCCTGGGTCAGCAGTCTTTGTTCTCAAGAGAACTGGCAGGGACCAGGAGGGGAGCAGCTGCACACGGTTGCATTTCCTTTCCACACTTCAGGTTAGGGACGACTGAGGAATCAAGTCAACTGGAGTTGGGTTGAGGTGTACTTGGTAGAGTCTGGGTTTGTGCATACAGCAGGTGCACAATTAAGTCTTTCAAATGTGCAAGGAAAATGCATCAAAACTGGCATTTTTCCCAGCTCTGTCTTTGATTTTTCTTTTTCACAATCCATTGTCTTATCACTGAGTTATTCATACCATATCTACCTTCCCTTATTTGGGGAACTGTCTCTCGAGAGGCTGTACATTTTTTTTTTTTTGTGGGTTGGATGAATGTGTGTTGTACTTGAAGGCTGAGAATAGATATCTATCCTTATAGAAATCTCATGCTATACTCATTAAAGTACTGCAGTAAATAATGTGTTGGATGAAGGAGAGCAGTGTGTGAATGGTAAAGTGATTTCTTCTAACATAAAAAGAACATATAGTTCCTTGAAAGCTTATCCATGGGTACAACAGGTGTCACTGATAGAGACAGATGAAATGACAGCAAGTGAGGAAACAGATCTTTAGAATCTAACGCTATCAGCCTGGGAGGGACCTTTCCCTCAGCAATACATGGCGTTTTATGGAGTCAGAATATAATTCATAAATGCCCAGTTAACCAATCACTCTCCATTAACTTTTCTCAGGATGTTTGGAACCTATGATTTGAAATCCTTTTTCTCTCTAACTCAGCAGAGAATAAAGGCTTCACTGTATCTTTTTTTTTTTGTGGAATCAATTACATATTTCAGTGCTTTTCTTTATGGGCATTTTTCATAGAAATAAGTGAACAGCAAAAAGACTATGCTTTGAACATATGGTGCTTTTTAAACAAACAGAAGCACTTCACTAACTCAAATAGTGCTCTTTTGGTGTATCCTTATTTATGTGCCTTAAAATTCCAGGTTGGGGGTGGGGGGAAGGCATCTGGGCTAAAAAACAGAACTTAAGAACTTTGTTAATGAAAAGTTTAATTTTCATTATATTTGTATAGAAAATACACCAAACCTTTGGCTGTGGTTTCCTTTTAACAATTATTAGGTATTTTGAAGGTGACATCTGGAAATTTTCTAAGTAACTGAATATGATTTATTTGATTTAGTATAAATGATGATGTTTACTGGAGATTAGAACAATTACTTAGTTGTGTTTTCTTATGAATAATTTGATTATCTTCACATTGAAATTTAACTATGTATAAATTGATTTATGAATAACGTGCCTTGATAAATTTCAGCCACATTGGGTTGAGCATAGAACAGCCTAAACTCTGATATATTTGAAACACTATTTCCTACCGTGTCTTCTGTTGCCTTGTTGAATGTTAAGATTTTTAGCAGTGTAGCAACAGTTTCATGTCACTAGGGCCAGTTACCTAATCTCTTCTGTGTCTGAAGAAAACTGAAAGAGTTTCCTTAGTTTTCAGTCTTTGGAACTTACTTCCAACACATGGAATAGACTTTCTACTTATTAGATTTCAACATAACAATTTATAATTCCTGTGCAATATACTCAAATAACCACTTACCCACAAAAGGGCATTGACAAAATAATTATCCAGATGTTTTAGTACTTTAAAATATTAAATAAGACACATTACAATAACTTTAACTGCACTGTTTTTAAAAATCAGAGCATTAATTAAAAATAAAATAAAAATATATTAGTTATGCCGGGCGTGGTGACCCACGCCTTTAATCCCAGCACTCAGGAGGCAGAGGTAGGCAGATCTCTGTGAGTTCAAGGACAGCTTGGTCTACATAGCGAGTTTTAGGCCAGCTAGGGCTACTGGGAGACCCTGTCTCAAAAAAAGACCAAAAAAAATATTAGCTATAATTAACATTTCCAGCAACTTCATTATCATCTGATATACATAAGGCCTAATGATATTTAATAATGTTAAGGCAGTTACACACACACACACTCTCACACACATACACACACACCCCTACACACACGCACATACAAACATATGAACATAAACTATAATGATAATGATCACAGTATTTACTGAATTTGAGATTCATACTAGGAAACTACTTGGAGTATCTTAGGCCTATATTGATTTCTTATTTCAATACAAATGTGTAGAGAATATCTGCTAGGTTTCCTCAGTCATTTAATTTAGAAAGTGACTGGTGGGTTATGACAACTTCTTTAGGAAAAAAGTTAATATTTTTTTTTAACTAAAGTATATGTATATTATGAAAAAAGTCATTAAAAATCGAGGTCTCAAATTTGTGAGGATATGTTTGGAGAGCAAGTGATATTTTAAACATTTGAAATATCTTAATGTAGTGTTCCTTTCTTTGTTTCTTCTTTTAGAGCTCAGTGCACTAGTGACCAAACTGTTCATGCTGCAATATAGCATTAACTGTATTCCAAGTTACCATCTCACATTTCTCCAGAATACTTTCAGATGTATAGATTTAACCTTACTAAAACTGGTATGCACTTTATTTTAGGGATTAAGTGATTTAGAAACTGCTGTGATTATTAGATAGATAACCTAGAGGGTTGAAAATTGGTGAGTTGCCTAAAAGAGGAATATAATAACAAAGCAGACACAAGGAAAACTGCTGACCATATCCCAGCTTATAGAACAATTCCATGACATCATCAAAATATAAAATGATGACAGTGCAGTCTGCAAGGACGCAATTACTTTAAGTATCTCTCAGGCAGGAAGAGAACAAATTAATCTTATTACTAGTCATTTAATAAACTACCCGTTCATCATACCCATTACACCTTAGCAGCTGTTTGTCATTATCTTATCGTTTTTATTTTAAACTTTCCCCCTAAAGGTGGTAATATCTATACACTAATGCTAGAAAACATCTATAATCTATAAAGGAGTCTGAAGGGGAAATGCAGATGATGCTTCATTAACAGTTTTTATTATTTACAACTCTGTTCTCTGCTAGACATTCAAAAACAAGTATGTGGGTATAGACAACTGCAAGAGGAACTTGTTTTAGCACACTATAACTTTTTTCTGGTTTCTTTTTTTCAGTGTATACTTTTTTTGAATTTTTGTGCTTTTCATACAATACGTCTCAATTTTATCTAGACCCCTCCCCTATCTCCACCCCCTGCCAGTTCACCCACAGGATTTCATGCATTCTGTCATATATGGTAAAGTCTATTGGTGTTCCTCAGTGTGACATTTGACTGCAGTGATAGTCTTTGTGTTTGAGAAAAGAACCTAAACCTTACCTGTCTTATTGGGAAAATAAAAGAACAGATTAAAAATAGTCAAGAATTATATGGTTTGAAAATATGAGATCGAGGTGTCAAAATGACCTCCAAAGATTTAAAAAGAAAATCTAAAAGTTGCTGATACACAAATAGGTTCACACACCAGCCATCCAGCAATCAATAACAGATCAATGTGAATGGTCCTAACATAGAGTATATGCATAATGTGCACATTTATAAATCCCTTTGTTCATAAAGTGTTTCACAATTGTATTGGTTGAGACACATATGGAGACAGAGGAGACACCATGGTAAATGGACTGCAGAGCCAGTCAGCCTGATTCCAAGCCCTGGCCTTGACAATTATGAACCGTGGGAGCTCGGGCCAACTATTAAGCTTTCTCTGTCTCCGTTTTCTCAGTTTTAAAAGTGGGATGGGACTATCTTCATCATATAATTATTTTATTAAAAGGACATGTGATTTGGACATGCCAAGAGGATAGGAGGAATGGTTCAGTCTGGGAAGCCCTGTGCTGAGTTGAGGCTTCCTAGAGCAAAGCCAATTGTTCTCCTTGAATAGATTTCTCTTGTATCAGCAGAAGTCTTAGCTATGGATAATTCCTCCAAAGGTGTAGCTTATACTGGCAGCGAGTTCCAAAGTATTGATCAATGTCAGAGAATTATATTATCATTGTTTCTATGAAACTAATTATAACTAATTAGTTAACTAATTATATTATCATTATTTCTATGAAACTAATAACTAATTTTACTTTTTAGAAAAAGAACTCAAGATCAGTAAAGTTTAAATCATTCAAAGGACCTTAGTTCAACTGCACCTAAACTAGTTCTTCTTGATTGGATGCTTGAACACTCAAGCCACGCTATTACTTGGTTTATTGTTTATAATCCTGATCTTCATTTCAAATATCAGAATTTACAGAGCGAGATCACTCCCTTCTCAGATACTTGTAGTAATTCCTAATGGGATAAATAAGGAATGTTGCCACCATCACTGAAATGACCTAAGACTGTAGGTTTGATTTACTCAACATATCCTGAAATTAAGGGAATTATAACATTTCTGTTGTGGAAATAATTTCATTTTAATAAATAGGTCTTACTTGAAAGAAAACTAAGAAATTGATATACTATTGAAAATTATTAATAGAAACCAAGCAGAATAAATAGCATTGTTTTTCTTTTTTTGAAGGCATAACCAAATCTTTTATTTTATAATTAGAGAGAGAAATG